TCTGGTACATCCAGACCCAATCAGACATTGTTTTTGGTTTATGCTTATCTTGAAGTCATTTATTTCTAAACCATTTGTACAATACAAGAGACTCATTTCCAATTAACCACAAAAAGCCAGAAGTAGAGGTATGGCTCAAGCAGTAGAGTGACAATCTTGAATGAGTGAGCATAAGGCCCTGAGATCAAACCCCAATACCACCAAAAAAAAAAAAAGACTATTATAATGTAAGGCTGAAATAAAAGGAAAAATGCTTTCTACCATTCTTATGTACTTGTCAGGGAATTTTATTGCCCTTGTAATGACCTATTTCTTTCATTAGTGGCCCTTCTAATTCACCTCCTGGCTGCCTACCCATCCCATTCTTCAACAGATCTTCCTGCCTATCACCCAGTGTCTGTTCTGCCAAATAATATATCATCTTCCATCTGTTTAAAGTCCCATGTTCTTTCTGGCACAGCTCCGCCTCCGGCTTCTCTCCCAGCCACCTACCTTGTTACCCTTCCATCTGCTAGGATGACTAGCTTCTCTTCTAACCTATTCCCAACCTAAACGATGGCCAATTTTACACTTAAGCTGATTAGAAGTTGATTTCTTAAAGGGCTATTCTGGTTGCAATACTAACTTAACATACAATCTCAGAGGAGAAAGAAAATTAAAGGACATAAAAAGTTAAACATGTATTTGATCTTTGAATGCTTCTACATAGTGAAGTAATTTACTGTTCCCGACTTCCTTCAAGGATGGTGTTTCAAAATGGACAGTACCACCATATAACCACTTGTTTTGGGTTGATGTTCTTCAGAGCCTTACTTTCCTTTTATTTATTTATTTATTTGTTTGTTTGTTTGTTTAATATGCCAGCACTAGGCTTGAATTCAAAACCTGAGCATTGTCCCTTCGCTCTTTGGGTCAAGGCTGGTGTTCTACCAGCCACAGCTCCATGTCTGGCTTTTCGGTGATTAACTGGAGGTAAGAGTTTCACAATCTTCCCTGCCCAGACTGGCTTTGAACCCTGATCCTCTGATCTCAGCCTCCTGAGTCCCTAAAATTACAGGCATGGGCCACCAGCCTTTTAGATAACTGTACTTGGTTCACTGTTACAAAGTTTTTATTCACTAATTAGCATCAACCTTCTCTTACACTCCACATTCTCAAGACAGTCCAATTCAATTTTGTAGACTTAGTATAACAGAAATACTAACATTTAATAATTACAATTTCAATTTTTGGGGTTATGTGTGCCTGTCCTGGGACTTGAAATCAGGGGCTGGGTACCGTCCCTTTGCTTTTTTGGTCAAAGCTAGCACTCTACCATTTGAGCCATAGCTCCACTTCCAGCTTTTTTGGTAGTTCATTGGAGATAAGAATCTCACAGCCTTTTCTGCATGAGCTGGCTTCCTATCATAATCCTCAGATCTCAGGCTCCTGAGTAGCTAGGATTTCAGGCATGAGCCCTGGGTGCCTGGCTCCACTCTTTTTTAATCCCTGAGACTTGTACTCAGGATCTGGTGCTCTCACTTGGCTTTTTCTCTAACAGCTGGTTCTCCACCACCTACTTCTAGCCTTTTGCTGGTTGCTTGAAACTTCCATCCTCAGATCTCAACCTCTTGGGTAGCTAGAATTACAGAAATGAATTACCAGTGCCTGGCCTCATTGTTTTTTAATATCTTTCTACTTCAAGAACAAGCCAATGCAATAAAACAAGTATTTTTTTTTTTTGGATGAATCTTGTGTGGTTTTGCCAGACTCTCTAGTTCTATATATTCAAATTCAGGATGGGCCTGTACTTTCAGTAGGAAGACATAAGTCAAATACCAGGGAGTAACCAATGGTCAGCCGAAATATTTGGTAAAAGTCATAAAAGACAGGAGTCACATGCTCAAATTTTTCAAATGGATTTTGGAAGAGGACTATCCATAGAAATCCTGAAAGGGAAAATTCTGTGAATCTAGTAGAATGGAGAATTAGGTGGGTGTGGTTGAGAATAAACCCAGTGGAATAGAAAAATTATTAAGACTTCTGCTAGAATCAACTTCTTGATACAGATTTATTCTTGAAAAGTTTTCTACGAATTTATGAGGCTTAAAACTCATCAGGACTACTTACAAAAAATTATCCACAGGGCACTTCCATATCATGCAAATATAAACTCTAACCATTTACATGTTAGGAACATATTGTAATAACCTATAACTTTCCCACAGTCTTAGTTAAATTACAGTTTATATAGTTTTCCACTTAAATTTATTACATTGATTTTAAGAGCCATAATGTATATCAACTATATTCTCTATGTATTTTTTTCCAAAATCTTATATTTGATATGTCACTACTTTCACTTCTCTTCCTTTCCTTTTTTATTATATCTCTTGTATAATATTTTTGATCTCCATTTAAATACCATGCCACAATAATCACCAATCAAATTCATTTTTGGTGTCTCACCTTATATAATTCAAGGTTGATGTTCAGAAGTTCTCCCAAGTATTGACTAGGGAGATTAATTATAATAGTGGGAAATTGGGTCTAGACATATCCTAGGATCCTCACATGACCCAGGATTATTGACCTAACACTTATCTACCTATCTATCATCTATCTCTACCTATCAATCAATCAATCATCTATCTATAACTACAATTTATTTATTTTCCAGTTAGCTATGATCTATATCTACATATCTTTCAATCACCTTTCATCTATTTCTCAACTATTCATTTATCAACTGTCTGTAACTATTACTTATTTATCTTTCTATTATCTTTCATCTACCCTATCTACACATCTTTTGATCATCCATCATTAATCACCTATCTATCTGTCTATCTATCTATCTATCTATCTATCTATCTATCTATCTATCTATCTATCTATCTATCTATCTTCATCTAAAGTATGTTAGATAAAATAGATTCATGATGTGGGTAGAAGCAGTGCTGCATGGATCCCTGTGCTTACACAATCTCCCCAAGTCAATACATTAATTTTACTGCTATATCTTGACCCTCAGCATGGAGCTTTTATTCTCCTACTGCCAGATCCAACAAGTAGCACTGCCATTAAACTCATTATCAGAATTTAGTACGTGTCATTAGGCAATAAATACCCTTAACCATTCAGGCTCCTGGCCCCCATTCTCCCTTGTTTTCCTTTAGATACTATTTGTCTTGTCTAGCAGTTAATGAGCTACCACAGTCAGGAAGCATTTGAGCCCCAAGACTCACCATGACTCAGCATCTGGACACCCCTTGTCACACAGGCAGTTACTTCTCCCTCCTGACTCTCCCTCCCTCAGGACAAACTCCCGGGTTTGAGTTTCCTCCTGTACCTGATTAGCTTTGAAGATTTAAGCACAGTAGACAATGCTGAGAACTCTGTGCCACAGTACCACCAGGCAGCTGACAGGAAACCCAAGTGATGTAGTAGCACTCAAGCAGAATTGAAATGCACTGTGAAATCTGGAGAACTGGCTTTCCTGTGCTCTTCTCAATGATCCACCCACCTTCCTTCATTCCTTTCCTTCCTTCCTTCCTTCCCTCCTTTCCTTCCTTCCTTTCTTCCCTCCCTCCCTTCCTTCCTTCCTTCAATCTTCCTTCCTTCCTTCCTTCCTTCCCTCCCTCCCTCCTTCTCTCCTTCTTTATGTCCTTACTCTTTCCTTCTTTCCTTCCTTCCCTTCCTTGCCTCCTTCCTTCCTACTTTCTTTCTTTCCTTTTCTTTTCTTTCTGTATTTCTTTCTTTTCCTTTTCTTTCTCTCTTTCATAAAATGATGTCTGTTTTACAAAACATACTTGGCTTTGTCTATTTTGTTTCTGACAGATGATTTGCAAGCATACTTTTGAAACTTAGTATCTATAAACCTACTTAAGGAAGTAAGCATATACAATATGTTATTTACAAAGTCTTAATAAATCCTCTTTTATAGTATGTACATATACATATGTACATACACATTTCTTGATAATATAAAATTAGTGCTGAAATTCCTTAAGGAATTTCACAACTAAAATCTCTTACTGGATATCTATTAATGCTACCTGCACACTCTAAAAAGATATTCAGGAATTCCCATTGTGCTAAATGTCATTTGTGTAATTATTATTCTATGCTATTTAAGCAAGCAGTTTTAATTCACAAAGACCTCTGACCAAGGTAGTAGCATTGTACTATATTTTCCAGTTTGCTGAGCTTTAGCAAATTCTATTAACTCTTCCATTGTGAGCTCTAGAACTGAGTTTAATTTTTAAGACAAGAAAGAAATTTCATCACAGCCTGCCATCTATCCATTTATTTAAAAATAAGGCATTCTCATATGAAGAAAAAGCAAACAACACACACACACACACACACACACACACACACACACACACACACAAACACACACACACACCCCACCCCACCCCAGTTAAAAGTCAAACTGCTTAGTTTCTGACAAGGTCTTCCCTCAAGGACAGGTTAGTCCAAATTGTTTGAATTCCATATCCTCAATTTGTATGCAACACAGTCTCTGAGTTGGAGAGCCTCGGTGCCTTGGCTCTCCTTCTGGGAGAAGGATTGAACATTTGGGGTTTCTAGCAGCATTCTTCATTTGAATCTGAAAATGTTGACATTAAGGACATAATGAGAGCCAAAGTAAAGCCCCAGCCCTACACAAACTTCACTGGAAGGTAATTTTCACTCCTCCATTTGGCTCAGTGCAGCTCCTCCCTCTCCAACGGCAGACTCCCATCAATTCAAACACAGTTGGAGCTCCTGTGCATTCTTGAAAAGCTTTTGCACGCAAAATAAACCATCCCCAGATCCAATTCAGTTAGATCGGTAAATAAAATCACCTTTCATTAACGTAACAATGGAAACTCCTTCCCATTACAATACTATAGCAAGTCATCCCATTTCAAATATATCGTACTGTAGCTGAATCTGCATTATCCCATATCGGCACATTAGGTTTACAATTCCCTAACCTAGAGGGGGGAAAAAAAACAAACCCTTGGACTTACCTCATCTATTGGACTAGGCACAGTTCCGTTCTGGGTATAATATCTATTGCAAATTGTCCATTTGAATAAATGCAGGGCCAGCTCTGCCACAATCCGCCTCAATCCTGCAGCAGAAGGCAAGTTAAAAGGACTTCAAGCTGTGACCTCAGAGGCGGGCGCAGCCGCTCCCATCCTTCAGCCAACCTTCTGGGGAAAGCAGGTTAGTGGGCTTGCCACACAGCCACACTTTCAAATAAAATCACTCTGGGTTGCAAGCTGGGGATTTACATCTTCCCAATTTGGCTGGCCCGGAGTCAATGCCGCTTCTATACCTGCAAATATTCAGCATGGCACTGCAGTCACTTAATGCAAGAAACTCTCTGAGCCGACTTCACAAACCGTCATTCTGTGTAGAGACTAGAGAATGAGCACGACATGCATAATTCATGCACTGAAATCTTCAATGCACGTCCTGTGGCTGCTCTTCTAGCCAGTAATGGGCTATTGATCACCTCATTCCTAAGACAATCACAGCGCCCGGATTGGTTTATTTCTACAAATAAAATGACGGTCGAAATCAGAAGCCTCCACCCCTGCAGCAGCCACTCACATAAAACGTTCCCAGAGATGAGAAGAAGATATTTGCATACTGCAGGATGTTTAAACTGGACGCTCATAGGCAGAAATGCTATAGCATGGGTTTTATGCAGAAGACGGACTAGCTATGGATTCAGGATGAATATGTCACATTATTAATATGATATAGAGGGTTTGGGTTTTTTTCCCCTACTGAGCCTACCATTTATGGAACATCAACAAGGATAAATGAAAATTAAGAATAGAAGAGAAGGAGTGAGAATGAGAAAGAGAGAGAGAGAGAGAGAGAGGTGTCTGTAAAACATTAGGTTGGGGGGGCTGGCTCATCCAAATGATCTTTCTTAGAAGAGTTTAATTGTAAGTAATTAACTTTAAAATAGTTTAAAATTACCCTTTTCTTTAAAAAATATCAACACATTCAGGGTACATGTGGCTCACACCTATAATCCTAGCTAACTCAGGAAGCTGAGATCTAAGGATCTAAGCCATCCTAGCATGAAAACCTGAGAGACTCCAAACCACAAAAAAAAAAAAAGCCAGAAGTAGAACTGTATCTTAAGTGGTAGAACAATAGCCTTGTGGATAAAAAAAAAAAAAAACAAACTCGGGACCACACCCATGTCCTGAGTTCAAGCCCCAGTACTGGCATAAATAAAATTAAATTTCTTTTTTCTATTTCTTTTTTTTTTAGGGAGGCTAGGACTCAAACCTGACACTTCGGCCACTAGCTAGCGCTCTACCAAATGAGCCTAGTCTCCAACCCCAAAATTAAACTTATAAAATTATCATAAGAGATAGATGTGATTATGAATAAGCAATTTTATTCTGGTGATGTCAGAGGTTGTGAGCTTGCTTTCTCTTGGAATTTAAGCTAAGAACACAGCTTTGCCTTCCCTGCCTGGGAAAGCAAGTTTTAAAACCAAATAAGGAAGCTAATATCCATCAAGGGAAAAATGACAGCACTTTGAGATGTCATAGTCTTAGCAGAAACATTATAGGTGGAGACCTATGTAAAAGAGACAATGCATATATACAGAAACAATCCACATTTACTTCTCAAAGTCTCCTGGACGTGAAACTAAGCCTTTAAAAAATTGTGTGTGTGTGTATGTGTGTGTGTGTGTGTGTGTATTACCAGAAGAGGGCTAGGTAGGATGTTCCTCTGAGTAACACCTACCAGTGGTTTAAAGATGAGCATATGATCAGACACACATACCCTAGATTTAAAATAAACCAAGATTTCAGAGCCAGCAATAATAAGGAAAAAAAGCAAAACACAACAACATAAAACAATATAGCATAAGAACAATAATGAAAATAGTAACTCCCAATAGAAAAAGGAAACAGTTAATAAGCTTTGAATGAAAATGATGGAAAAAACAGAAAATCATATACTCTCAGATAAAACAAAATCTAAAGCTGTAATAGCCAATTTCCATTTTCTGGAAGTCTGGCTGTTGCTAAGGAAAAAATCACTAGCTGATCTTATCAAATGGATAGAAACCAGAGATGGCCACTTTAGACCCATTTGCTGTCTTTCCAATATTTTGAATTTATAATGCACAGATAATATAGAGTAAATGTAATAGACAGAGTCAATAAGATAAACCAAATTTGGGAGGGAGGGCAGAAGGAAGGGAGGATGGAAGGAAGGGGAAAGAAAAGAAAGAAAAAATAAAATTATGAAAAATGGGGTAAAGAATTCTATTTACCAAAGTTCAAATGCTTTTCAGTTCAAGGGATAGGGTACTAGATTACATTTTGTTCTTAGAGGCTGAAGACATACTAGTTTCTCTCTGTGTGTTCTACCAGTACCATAGCTACACCCTAAATTGTGGTCCTTTCACTTATTTTGTTTTGTTTGTGCCAATACTAGGGCTTGAATTCAGAGCTTCACAACTTTTTCTACTCAAGGAGTGGACTCTATTATTTGAGCCACACTGCCACTTGTGCCTTTTGTTGGTTAACTTGAGGTTGGAGTCTCCCTCTTGGATTTGTCTGCTTGAGCTGGCTTCAAATCTCCATCTTCAGATCTCGGCTTCCACAGTAGCTGATTGGCATGAACCACTGACACCTGTTACCTGGCCTTATTTATGTATTTAAAAATATTTACTATGTACTTTCTACAGACAAAAAATTGTGCTAGATGCTAGAAAAGCAACTATGTGTACTTCATGCTGCCTCCCAAATTCATATGTTTGTGTTGAAAGCACAACTCTGCTACAATGAATGAATCCATGCAATCACCATGATACACATTAACCTATGTAAATGGAGAAATCACTAAAGTGTCTCTATTTAAAACTGGTGTTTACATTGTAAGTCCCTATGCCTATATGCTATAAAACAGGAAAACACCAACTCTTATTTTTACTCCACTCTGTGATTCATAGCCGAAAGAAATATTGGCTTTGCTCTCAACCAAGGGAGCATTAGGAAATGATTCATCGAAGGGGGTGATATTTCAGGGAATGGAATAATATATTGGAAATAGCACCAGCTTTAATGTTGGCAAATTTAAAATTCAATTCTGTCTTTCCTGAATTTATGTGACTTTGGACATGACATTTGCATTCCTTAAGCACCAATTTTATCATGTACAAAGGATGATACATATTTATTTCCATAGGGTTTTGTGAGAATTATAGAAATAACAAGGCATAATCATTAAAGTACAGTTATTTTAGTCAGCTGATAGAAGTTTAAATTTACTTCATATGAAGTGGGAAGAAGCCATGTAAAATGTTGTTTTTATTTAGGACTCTGACTTGGTTTTTCTCTCTCTACCCCTTCCCCCAAAAGAAAAATAAATGAAAACATAAAATAAATGATTATTAGCTACTCAGGAGGCTGAGATGTATTGATTGCCAGTGTTAGCAAGCCTAGGAAGGAAAGACCTTGAGATTCTTATCTCCAATTCATCACATGAAAACTAGAAGTGAAGCTATGGCTCAAGTAGTAGAACATCAGCCTTAAGCAGAAAAAGCTAAGGGACATTGCTCAGGCCCTGAGTTCAAGCCCCAGTACCTGACAGTGTATACACACACACACACACACACACACACACACACACACACACACACACACACACACACACAAGTAGAGAATGAAATTCTGAGATTTAGATAGATCAATGTACACAATAACCTTCCATCTTACTCACATTCCTGTTTCTGTGCCAGAATACCTGAGTAAAGCCACTCAAATGGAGGAAGACTGGACAGAAAAACATACAAATATCATATCCCAGGTTGCAATTACTTCTGAGAAAAGGATGGAAGGAACAGTTGGAAAGGCAAGACACATGCATATAGAGAGAGAAAGAAAGAAAAAAAAGTGTCAGAAATAATTCATGATGAATCATAGTAGTAGGCCCCTACCTATCAAGAATTAACTTGAGTCACACCCCCACTTTCAGCTCTTTGCTGGTTAACTGTAGATAAGACTTTCATAGACTTTTTAGCCCATGCTGGTTTCCAACCATGATTCTCAGATCTCAGCTTCCTGAGTAATTAGAATTACAGGTGTGAGCCACCGAGGCCTAGCTAATAAAACAAATAATGACAAAGAAATACACAGAAATATAATACTAGCAAGAGATTTTCATATACCTAAAATCTAAGAAAATTAATAAAAAAAAGCACTGGCTTCAATAATACCACAGACCCCATTACTCTACCAGATATATATGTACTGACAAAACAATTACATTATGGTTACAGTATACAAGAGCATACTTTCAGCATATATGTAGATGAGTATCTATATCCAGTATAAAGCTTTTAATTAAGATAATATCTACCTCACACAACTATAAATATATAACATACACTAATGCACACTCATTCCATCCCAAAATGAGACTCTATACTGAAACAAGAAACATAGGTTGGTTGAAACTACTTTTTTCCATGCATATATTTACTATTATTAATTGTTTTTTCCACATATATATTTAAAATGAATCTCTACAGTCGTAAAGTTCTCTAGGGACATAGTAACTTAAAACCAAGTTTGGATAACAATATCATAGTCACATGCTTTCCTTTATTTATAGATAGATTTCTAATGTAAAAAATAACTGTTATACTTTTATTTAACATGCATGTGCATGTGTGTGTGTGTGTGTGTGTGTGTGTGTGTGTATGTGTGTCTGTCTGTCTGTCTGTCTGTCTGTCTCTGTGTCTATCTGTCTTTCTGTCTGTGTACTAGAGCTTGAACTCAGGGTCTCTTGTTCTGGCTCAGCTTTTTGACACTGTACCACTTGAACCATGCCTCTAGTTCCAGCTTTTTGCTGGTTAACTGGAGATAAGAGATTCTCAGGTTTGTCTGCTTAGGCTGGCTTGGAAGAGAGATCCTTGGATTTCAGCCCCTTGCATAGCTAGAATTATAGGTGTGAGACTTTGGCACCCAGCCTGGATGAGCAATTTTGGATAGGCATATCTAAGAACATATCTTACTTCCTACTGAAAATGAAGCCTCCTGCTAGGATGATAATGTATCTGTAAGTTCTTT